ATAAATCATGACACATAAACGCGACAAAAGTTCGACCAGCTCGTGAGTATACAAGGAATTTTGTACTTTTTATTTATTTTTTGTTTAAGAGGAGAAAAGTGCTGACCAGGCCACACCAAGCCGGTAATGTAGGTATCAAATTGCACATGGAAGAATGCAGGGTGTAAAAGGCTATTGATAGCCTCGGTGTTTATTACTTGTTAATGGAGGGTTTAGGTGGATTTTAATCTAATCGCCCTGGGCCCCCTTCTATTGGAGAGAATTGTGATGCTTTTTAGAAGAGATATGTTTACGCTTAAAGTGTGAAACGATTTATGACAAGTGCCGAAGAATATTAATGAAATAACGAAGATAATTTGCCATAAAGTGCCTCGAAACGCTGTTGAAGTTTTCCACATTTGGAAAATTAATATAGAATTGTGTGAGCACACTGCATAAAATATTAAATGAAACAAGATTCGTAATTATGTGTGATTATAATTCAATAATATATAATTAATGAATAGCTAGCAACTGTTAAGCTTAAATACCAGAGATCTTTTAATGGAAATTTATGCCTAAATCTCCCTCACTCTCCACAATAAACCTGTTCTACACCTTCCATCTCCTCCCAGACAATTACGTTAAAAAGACGTGGTGAAGTACGTTAAAATCACGTCATTTGAACGTACATACGACTGCATATGGTGTACGTCCTAGACGTTAACAAAAATGCCAATGCAATCGATGTATACAGGGTGATTTAAGTTTAATCTTGATGACTTCGGGGATCAAAAGAACCGGTTAGAACAATGTCCCTACATGATATAAAAAATTCCCAAACAGCATCGTTTCAGAAATACAAAACGTAGACTTTTTTGCTTGTTTTTTTCTTCACAAGTTTTGAACCTGCATTCGATTCTAGTGAAATTCGGCATGTAAACACTTCTAATTATCTTGCAAATACTTCTTAAGTTTTAGCCCCCCAATCTATTTCGAAATGGATTTTGTCGGCCACCCTCTCTTTATTTTGTATCAAAACTTGAACAACAAAAATAACTTCAATAAAACGGATCCACAGTGCTATTCACCGATTAATTGGGAAACGTTTTTGTCTCTTGTTGCTGTTTCACATTCTATTTCATTTCCGAGATATTCAATGAAATTCGGGACAATGTAGTCACGTAAATTTCCAACAAGCGATGGAAACCCAATGGGTCTTTCTCCAACTCAAAGTCTGTACCTCAACTCCAAGTGTCTTTCGTGCTATGACAAAATTGTAAAAATTTCAAACAAAAATTTAATAACAACTACTGCAAGTGCATAACATTTACTACAAACTAATATAAAAATTACAATAATTCCTCAAAGTGCATTCTATCAGCCTAAATACATTTTTGACATCGAGGAACTAGTGTATTAACCGCAGCCTGTTAGTTGAACGGGATTCTTTTACACACTTCCAAAGAGGCTGGGTGATTAAACCTTAAGGAAAAATCCTTAAGTGTTTGAATGCCGACATTTACTATAATCGGATAAATGATTAAAACTTTATGAAGAAAAAACAACAACAGTTAAAAAGGGCTGCCGCCCCCAAAAAAAATTGAAAAATGAAGGTACTGAGTTAGAACTTAGAAAATTAAGAGCTGAAACATGCGGTACTTTATTTGAACAATTGGCCATTAGGTAAAGCGATCAATTTGCACCCATGTCTTAACCCCAGAAGCCAATTAGCTGGTGTACCATGATAACCGCAGCGTTCTGCGTAAAACTGCCAGGAAAGCATTTAATAAGGTTACAAATAAGGCCAAAACGACCCGAAAGCCGATTCGATTGAATATCGAAAAGCACTTAAATCGATAATGGGCAAA